TTGTAAAAAAATTAAAATTGAAACTAAAAAATATAGCCAGGCATGGTGGTGGGCACCTGTAATCCCTGCTACTCAGGAGGCAGAGGCAGGACAATCACTTGAACCTGAGAGGCACAAGCTTCAGTGAGCAGAGATCACGTCACTGCACTTCAGCCTGGGCAACAAACGGAGACTCCGTCTCAAAATAAATAAATAAATAAAAATTAAAATTAAAAATTATGTTTGGTAAGTACCCTGTTAGAAGAGAGTCATTTTCAGTATTACAACTTCCTAGCCTATTGTGTTAATATTTGCCTGGACTTCAGAACCTTCATAGAACACATTTTCTTTTGGAATATATTTGATTGATAAGAAAGCTTCAATATTGTTTTCACTTCGATATAGGAACACAGTTGTTTTGTTTCTTCTAGTGCTATCAAAATGAAATACTCATTTTTGCATTAAAAAATCCCACCACAGCAGTACTCATATGCGTATTTGATTGAATAACCATGAGACTGGATTCTTGGAGGGGCATAATTAGAATCCTGCCTACCACACAAGCCACAAGTGGACAGCTGCATATGACAGTCCTGACTGGGACAGCCCTGAAGGACAGTGGTGATGGGACATCCTCCCAGAGGGAAGAACTTTGAGCAGTGCACCTTCTTAGAGGAGACATATCCAGACATGTAAGTATGTATCATGCATAGGCTGTGTCCCACTTATTAGCTGAATTGTCAGGGACTTTGAGGACACATGATTAAAAATTTGTGACAAGGAGGTCTGAGAAAAAAAACAAATATATGGACAGACCTTTGCAAATGGACATACAATGTGAAGATATTGGGGTCTCATGAGAGTTCTCAGCAAAGGGTATCCTCAGCAGAGCAGAATTTTAATAATTGGATGGATAAGGTACTTATTATCTAGATATTAATCAGCCTCTTTCCCCAACGCTTGTGTCACAATCTTATGGACTCAACAAACAAAGTGGTCAAACTGTCAGGGATGGAGATTATGTGCAGTAGCATGGACTTCCACTCACCATTTCAAACCTGGCTATGGTCATTGCTGAGTGAACAAACTTCCAGGAATGGAGACCAACTCTAAGTCCCCAATTTGGCCCCAGACTTCAGAATGATCTGACAGCCACTAGTTGGCATGTGGATTACAATGGATCACTTCTATTATAAAAAGAGAAGTGCTTTCTTCTTACCTGAACAGACATTTAGTCTAGATATGGATTTTCCTTCCCACGTGCAGTGCTTTGAGAAAACCAATATTTGTATCTTGGCATCCAAAATTCTAGAAAAAGCCAGTTCCTCAAGTTCCTAGAGTTATTCATTCTGGAGACTTTAGTATACACTGCGAGAAAACCTGTAGGCCATCCACCAGAATGCCCAAGTGGAGTCACTCTTAAACAATGAGCCCTGCATGTTCCCAGAAACTCTAATTATCAGGAAGAAGTTTACTATGGTAGCCACTTCTCCACCCAGGACAATTGGAGAATGGCAGATATTAGGGACTATGAACTCTGTAAAAGCTGTAGAAGACTGCAGTAAAGAATCATAGTTACAGAACCAAAAGTGCCAGTCTTCTATTTTGGATGTTGTACAAAGAGGATATACAATTAATAAAGTGGTCAAGGAACAGGTGTCTGCTTCAATACCAAAAACTAACATAGAAACCTGTAAAGGTGTCCAAGTAAGTAATCCTCTTCATGTATATCTGGTTAAGATTCAAAACCGAAGCTTGCTTTTGGGTTTCTCACTTGGGTATAATTGCATAATGCCGGTTTGGGCTTCTAGTGAACCTGTCACCCAGATAGTGAAGAGAGTATCCAATAGGTAGTTTTTCAACCCTCTAACCCGCACCCTCCCTCCCCTCCACCTCCCTTTTGGAGTCCTCAGAGTCAATGGTTTCTACCTTTATGTTCATGTGTACCCATTGTTTAGCTCCCACATATGAATGAGAACATGCAGTATCTCATTTTCTGACTATCTGATTTTGTTTCTGCGTTTCATTTAAAACTGAAGTTTTCGCCGGACACAGTGGCTCACACCTGTAATTCCAGGATTTGGAAGGCAGAAGTGGGTGGATGGCTTGAGGTCTGGAGTTCCAGACAAGGCTGGTCAACATGACGAAACTACAGCTCTACCAAAAATGCAAAAAATAGCTGGGGCCTGGCGCAGTGGCTCGCGCTTGTAATTCCAGCACTTTGGGAGTCTGAGGTAGGCAGATCATTCGAGGGTCAAGAGTTTGAGACTAGCCTCACCAACATGGTGAAACCCCGTCTCTACTAAGAAATACAAACAATTAGCCAGGCGTGATAGTGTGTGACTATAATCCCAGCTACACAAGGAGGCAGAGGCAAGAGAATTGCTTGAACCTGGGAGGTGGAGGTGGCAGTGAGCCAAGATTGCACCATAAACTTAATCAAATTGTTGTCCCAACTATAGCTGCTGTACTATAGGTGGTTTTGTTGTGTCAGCAACTGTGACATCCCTGGGAACCTGATATATAATCTTGATTAGGTGAATGTTTTGTTTTCTTTCAGTAATTGTCATAAACAAGAGTTTGGGTTCAGCTAGAGAGGAGAGCAATGTACTATGTACTCTCCTATGTACAATGTAAAATGTACTAAATCTCCTATTTCAAGCTTGTATCAACTCTCTAGGTTTATATCCTAAATCAGTCCCTAGGGACCATGACCACCTTTCTCTTAAACCAGATGTGACACCATTCTTTGCCCTGATGACACTATGCTGACTGAGCAGGAGGTAGCAACTAATCCAGACACATTAGAAACACACCTGCAAGACATTATGTGAGAAATAATTGCCACACAAAATCAGGGTCTTCTGAGTGAAACATTTAACAATCTAGTAGTCTGGCATGTCAAGATGGTGCTCATAAGGTGAACAGCAAGTTCCTACATCTTGCCTTTCTTACCACTAAACAAGGAACACACAACCAAGTTGCATAATAGATGCTTGCTTTAGCATGTACCTCAATGTTGTGCGGTATCGTGACCCATTGACAAGTGCCTGAAACCCTGCTAGCATAGATCGGGTGCAGAAAAAGAGAAGCTTCCCTAGTCCTGCACCTGTGGTCTCATGTGGAGTTCCCTGTGACCAGTTGACTAGAAAATAAAAAACATGCCTGATTTTCATTTGTTACTTCAGAATATGCAGGCACTACATGTATTAAGTTTGTTACTACTGCAAAAGAAATTATCCCCAATTTAGCAGCTTAAAACAACACAAATATATAAGCAGTTCTGTAGATCAGAAATTCATGCAGCCTGGATTGGTTTCTCTGCTTAGGATCTCACAAAATCAAAGTTAAGGTATCAACGAGGCTGCTGACTAACTGAGGACTCAGAGAGAAACTGTTTTCAAGCTCATTTGAGTTACGGGCAGGTCTAACTTCTTACAGTTGTAGAACTGAGGTAGCCGTATACTCATGGTCTTGGCTGAGGCCACTCTAAGCTACTTGAGCCACCTCCATACCTCCTTAGGTGCACCCTTCTATCTTCTAAGCAGTAATGGTGCATCATGATTGTGGTGACTGACATAAAGATCATTCATGGGTTTGGCAACATGAACTTTCATTTACAAGGTCCATCTCACTACAGCCACTGCTCACTATTCAATCTGCCAGCAGCAGAGACCAACACTGAGTCCCCAGTATGGCACCACGTCCCAGAGTGGTCACTCAGCTTCCAGGTAGCACTGTAATTACTTGGATCTGCTTCCAAAATTGAAGGGGCATCATTTTGATCTTGCTCAAATAGACACTTACTATGCATATGGATTTTCATTCCCAACCATGGTACTTCAAGAAAACCAATACTGTGATATTAGGAAAGGCTGTATCCACCATCGTGGTATCCCATACTGCAACAGTTTTCAACATGAAACTCACATGACAGGAAATGAAGTATGGGAATGGGCTCATGCTAATGGATTTCACTAGTCTTGTGATGTTCTTCAGCATCCTGAAGTGGCTGGCTCAATAGAACACTGAAGGATCTTTTAAAGCCCGAGTTGTAGTTGCAGCTTTGTGGCAGTGCTTTGTGGGGCTTGGCTGACAATCTAGAAAGTGGCAAAGCTGAATCCCAGCATCACGTATATGGAACTCTTTCTCCCACAGCCACATCCATGACTTCAAAAATGAAGGAGGCAATATGTGGGCCTTCTCTCACTATTACTCCTGGGTATCTAGTAACAAAATGTTGCTTCTTACGCTCAAGAAGCAAACTGTGCTGTCAAGCAGCCAACTTTTGGCTCTGCTGGACTAGAGGACTTAGTTACACATTGAGGAATTTTTTCAACAGGGGAAACCAAAGTGATTGCATCAAAATGAAAGTTGTGTCTGGCCAAGTGCCATGGCTCACACCTGTAATCCCAGCACTCTGGGAGGCCAAGGTGGGCAGATCACCTGAGGTCAGGAGTTGGAGACCAGCCTGCCCAATATGGTGAAACCCCATCTCTACGAAAAATACAAAAGTTAGCTGGATGCGGTGGTGCGTGCCTGTAGTCTCAGCTACTCGGGAGTCTAAAGCTGGAGAAACGCTTGAATCTGGGAGGCGGAGGCTGCAGTGAGCCAAGTTTGCACTCCAGCTGGGGTGACAGACAGAGATTCTGGGGGAAAAAAAAAAGTCATGTCTGCAAGTTGACCAATTTGGACTGTTCATTCTTCTCAACCAAGAAACAAAGTAGGGGGTCTGCTACTGGCTGAGATTGGGTTCCTACTATACTAGGGGCTAAGAAAAGAGTATGTCTGGTATGTCTAGAGAGCTCCTTAGTCCTCCCATGTTTTGCGATTAAAGTTAATGGAAAATTAAAGTAATCCCATCCAGGCAGAATATCTAATGGTTCAGACTTGTCAGTAATGAAGGTTTGAGTCATCCTGCCAGGTCAAGCACCATGACCAACTGACATGCTATCTCAGGGCAAAGGGAATGCGAAATGGGTAGTGAAAGAAGGTAGTTAAAAATACCAGCTACAACAATGTGAGCTGCTGCAGAAACCACGACTGTAATAATATTTATCTAATGGGTTAATAACATCTACCAGCACAGGTGGGAATACAAAACAACCAAAAAACAAGTTATCCTTTCAAATGAAATGCTTAGGGAAAAAGAACAACTTTTACTAACAGAAATTTCTTAGCCTCTGGAAGGCCATTTGATTCAGCAACATGTGCCAGGAGACTTCAGCAATATCCTGCTCCATTGTAGAAAACAGCAATCTGATCCTTTTCTCTCCTCATTCATTAATGAGATTATGCATTTGGGATGTGATAGTCCTCCATGGACAAATGTGATAGTCCTCCATGGACAAGTACTCTCAAATCATACGTTTCAGTTTCTTCTCAAGGTGCAGAATTATGTCTCGTCTTATATAACTGAAAAGAAAGAGACATGTCATTAACCAAAAGATAGCCAAACAATCTATCCTGTAGGAAGCACTGTGGGCGATAAAAAAGATGAAGTAACAGTCGGCATGGAAATAGAAATGTACCTGCATGGTAAGAGGTAGTCTAGCTGGCAATAACAAATGCTGGGGAGGGTGTGGAGAAAAGGGAACCTTCACCCACTGTTGGTGGGAATATAAGTTACTACAACAACTATGAAGAACAGTTTGGAGGTTGCTCAAAAAACTAAAAATGGAGCTATCATATGATCCAGCAATCCCACTGCTGGGTATATACCCGAGAGAAAGGAAGTCAGTGTACTGAAAAGATATCTGCCCTCCCATGTTTGTTGCAGCACCATTCACAGTAGCCAAAATTTGGAAGCAACCTAAGTGTCCACTAACAGATGAATGGATAAAGAAAATGTGGCACATATACACAATGGAGTACTGTTCAGCAATGAAAATAATGAGATTCAGTCATTTGCAATAACATGGATGGAACTGAAGGTCATTATGTTACGTGAAATAAGCCAGGCACAAAGAGACAGTCTTCGCATGTTCTCACTCATTGGTGGGAGTAAAAATGTTAAATAACTGAACTAATGGAGATAGAGAGTAGAATGATGGTTACCAGAGGCTGGGAAAGTTAGTAGGGGTGGGGGAAAGTGGGGATGATTAATAGGTAGAAAAATAGAATAAATAAGATGCAGTATTTCATAGCACAACAGGGTGACTATAGTCAGTAATAATTTAATCGTACATTTAAAAATAATGAAAAGTATATAACCAGATTGTCTGTAATACAAAAGATAAATGCTTGAGGTGATAGATACTCCATTTACCTTGATGTGTTTATTACACATTGTTGTCTGTATCACAGTATCTCATATACCCCAGAGGTGATCGACCAAATACAAAGAGTGTCAACTGAAGGAGAATGCACACCTCAGACTATGGTAAGAATGGAAGTCTCCATAGGCTTAAAAAAATGAGTTAGATTCAGATAACATTAACCTAAGTAACTGTGGAGACAGGCATAACTATGAGTGAGGGCCGGGGTTTGAGAAATTCATGACACGGGCTGTTCCCCCACGCTCACCCCCAGTACTGTGTTGGGCCCAAGTGCTTAAAGAAATTGAACAGTTCCTATTTCTACCCACCTTACTGCTTCCTTGATGATGGATTCAAAATATTGTCCCTTGACTTCTATAGGTGCTTGCAGTCCTTCAAGATATTTAAAGATTTTTTCATGTTCTGAAGATGTTAAAAAAAACTTCAGTATTATAAAATATAAGGAAGAATAGAAGTGAATCTTGGTTAATCTATACCTCAGCAATCAGGTTTCATAGGCTAAATGTTTTAAATGCTTAAATAAAGATACCTGCACATATGAAAACTAAATTTAAAAAAGACACCTGCATTTACATAGGAATGAAATTCTTTTAATCAAAACCAAGTAAGAAAATAAAAGAAAAGGTGTACCATATTTTAGTCAAAGAAGAGAGGACCCACCATAAATTATGAGCAAACTCAACTCTGGCAAAGAATGAGCCTCAGCAGATAACATGGATATCTTCTCAATCACAGAAAGAGAGACTTCCTAGAGATTTTTTTTAAAAAACAGACTTTTTTTTTTGAGATGCAGTCTTGCTCTGTCACCCAGGCTAGAGTGCATTGGTGCGATCTCGGCTCACTGCAACCTCCGCCTCCAGGGTTCAAGTGATTCTCCTGCTTGAGCCTCCCAAGTAGCTGGGATTAAAGATGTGTGCCACCACACCCAGCTAATTTTTTGTATTTTTAGTACAGATGGGGGTTTCACCATGTTGGTCAGGCTGGTCTGGAACTCCTGACCTCATGATTCACCCGCCTCAGCCTCCCAAGGTGCTGGGATTACAGATGTGAGCCACAGCGGTCAGCCCCAAACAGACATTCTTATACTACTTTCTTAGTTCAGAGTGTAGAATATCCTTCACTAATTTACCTTTTATTTCAGCATTAATACCTTTTTGGATTTTTGAAAAAGGGAGTATTTCTGTGACTTTTAAGTCATCTCCAAAGAATTTGCTGGTAATGATTCCTCCTACAGGTGCATTGCTACCAGGTTTCCGCATAGGCGCATCTTCCTGAAACCAGTGAAGTCATCAATCCGACAATCCAATTAGCTGAGTGAAATACCATCTCCTGCTACAAGCTCTGTTGAAACAGATTTTGACAAAAAGCCATCAGTTGGAGTTTGACCACTTTATTTCCCCTCCACATAGACATCATGAATGACAGATCTAGAAACCAAACTGAGAAGCTGAGCTGTGAGATATGTGTGTTTCATCACCCCTACGGGTACATCTATGTGCTCCTCCGTTTCTAGGGAATTATTTATTTTATAATCGGGAGGACATACCACGGGGAAACCCCAGGCCTGACGAACTGAGGCCAGGATACCTAATACAATAAAACCACCTCTTATTTTCTGACCCTATGAATACATATGGAAGCCAAGTAAGACAGCACAACTCTAACACACACAGATCCCTGGTACTCAGGGGTTAGTGGCAGCTTGCTCTGCTTTACTAGTTGAAAGCAGCAAGTCTCAGTTGACATCATGACTTCTCAAATTCACATACAACCTGTCATGCTTTACTAAGCTGGAAGCCAGATAACTTGGATACACCTCAAGCGGCCTCCTCTCTACATCAAATATATTCTGAGAAAATAGAGGCGGTCATTAATGCTGAAAGTTCTATAAGCACTCCATCACCAAAAATCCCTTTTAGTATATGATCTTCATCATCCTTCTTTTCTGCCTCAGAAAAGTGACTTTTTTCTCACTCCAGGCCTGTCACCTCTTTCATTTATTCATCATCTGTGGTAGGCAGCATGCCAGGAGCTGGGGATCAGCAGTAAGCAGCCAAGAGAGCAACGTTCCCTGCCCTTGTGGAGCTCACAACCTCATGGGGCAGTCAGACAGTACGTGCACAATGAGTAAATGAGCAAATGAGCAAATGAAACAAGCAGCGCTAGGCTGGTGTTGGGGAAGCCGTCCACGGGCCTGCAGGAGACAGCAGCAGAGGTTGCCTCAGGGGTTGCCAATGGTTGGGCAGGGTCTTCTGAAGAGGTGCCATTGGGCAGGGCTTGGAGGAAGAAGCAGAGCCGCCTATGCAGAGGCAGACGGGGAGCTCTAGGCTGCGGTGAGGCCAACGGGTATGGGCTGGAGTGGGGATGGACCGGGCACTATGGGGTGAAGGAGAGAAGCAAAGAGAGCCAGGAGATGGATGGGGCCCCTGTTAGGAGAGGGTGATGGAGGCCAGGCCATGCAGAACCTCCCAGACTAAAGCGGGTTCACCATCTGTTCTGAGTGCTTAGGGGAGTTGAGAATGGGTTCTCACGACCAACATGACATTATGTGATTTACATGCTAACATGATGACCTGGCTGCAGGGTTGGAGGGTATGTGTTCGATGGGGGCAATAATGGGAAACACGGAGATATCACAGTAGCTCAGTGGTTGATCATGGCTACTGTGATAGTAGTAGTAGAGTGGAAAAGAAGAGAGAGAAATGCTTGGATTCAGAAAATTTTTAAAATATATAGAGGAGACAAGAAAAAGAAAGGTAGAAAAAAGAATGCCTGTAATCCCAGCACTTTGGGAGGTTGAGGTGGGTGGATCACCTTAGGTGAGGAGTCTGAGATCAGACAGGCTGACATGTTGAAGCCCCATCTCTACTAAAAATGCAGAAATTAACTGGGCCTGGTGGCTGGTGCGTATAACCCCAGCTACTCTGGAGGTTGAGACAGGAGAATTGCTTGAACCCTGGAGACGGAGGTTGCAGTGACCCAAGATGGCCCACTGCACTCCAGCCTGGCCTACAAGAGAGAAACTCCATCTTAAAAAAAAAAAAAAAAAAAAAAAAAAAAAGATAAGGATTAAGGACAAGAAATTTTAAAAGAAGATTTTGGAAAATGAAAATCCTAGAAAATTTCCATGAAGGATCGAGTGAACAACTGTCAAATGCTGCTGAGAAATTAGTGGCAATGTCAGCCAAAACTGTTCACCTTGACTAGGACAGTTTCAGTGGAGAAGAAGGGGCAGGAGGCTGACTGCACTGGATAGATCATGAAGAGGAGGTGAGGACAGGCTTATTTACCCCTTTCCTCTGCCATGGCAGAGCCTTCAATAAGGCTATCTCTTGCTCCTTGTTTCCTTACCAACAGAGCCATCTTCTGCCTTTTCTGAGATGATGAACTATCAGATTCCCTGGGAGGTTTAAACACGTTTTGAGGTTCTGTAGCAACCTTCTCTGCTTTATCAGGCATTGTTTCTGGAAAAACATCAATGAACATATTCCACTTATAACAAAAAATCTAACAATCACAAAATGGCAAACAGTCTGCATATGTGTATACAACCAAGAATGTGAATCATTAACTTGACATTTAATCATGAGCCAAAATACCAAGTCTCAGCAAACACTCTGTTCTCAGGAAAAGAAACCTAATTTTAATGCATGCTAAGTAAAAAAAAGAGAAGAAAAATGACAAAACGAAAACCAATCAGAATGCTTGTGGAATAAGCAGCTCTCATCAACCAAAAGTAGATAAAAATATTATTACCTCTTTGAAGATGGATAAACCAATGTGTATCAATCCTTGTTAGGAAAAATAATTCCTTTTCTTTGTCCTCATTCTAGGAGATTGATACAAACCTGATAACATTTGACAAGGACATGAAAGAAAAACTACAAGATCAAGCCAAAAATACAAGCCAAGATCACCCCTGAATTCAGACACAAAAATTCTAAACTAAAGGTTACCAAATAAAATCCAATAATACTTAAAAGGGACTCCATCAGCCATGGTGGAGTATATTGCATAAAGGCAAGAACGATTTTAACATTTGAAATCAATCAATGTAATGCACCACATTAAAAACAACAAAGATACAGGGAAGCACCACATGATCATTATTATAGATGGGTGGATGTTTAAAATCTATTCATGATAAAAACGATCAGCATCTTAGAAAAAAGGGCAGTGCTGGACATGGTGGCTCACACCTCTAATCCCAGCATTTTGGGAGGCCTAGGCAGGCAGATCACAAGGTCAGGAGATTGAGACCATTCTGGCTAAAATGGTGAAACCGTGTCTCTACTAAAAATACAAAACATTAGCTGGGCATGGAGGCATACACCTGTAGTCCCAGCTACTTGAGAGGCTGAGGCAGGGGAATCGCTTCAACACAGGAAGCAGAGGTCGCAGTGAGTCAAGATCATGCCACTGCACTCCAGCCTGGGTGACACAGCGAGACTCTGTCTCAAAAAAAAAAAAAAAAAAAAAAAGAAAGAAAGAAAGAAAAGAAAAGAAAAATGGGCTACTTTCTCATTCTGGTAAGCATATGTACAAAAAAAATAGTGAAAATAGTGAATGCCATAATTTATAGTGAAATATCAGTATTTTCTCCCTGAGTTGAAAGCAAGACAAAGATGTCCACTATCCATTCAACAATTAACTGTAGGTTCTAAAAGGTACAGTAGCATCAGGAAAATATAATAGGTTTAAAATTTGGAAAGAAATAAAACCTTCATTATTCACAGATGGCATTGTTCTGTACATAGAAAATGTAAAAGAATAAAATCAAGTCACTAGATATAATAAAAACCAATGGTATTTCTTTATTATTAATAGCAACAAATAATTAGAATGTGAAATTTCAAATGTCATAAAAAGTTAAAAAATCAAATACTTAGGAATAAATCTAATCAAGATGTGCTAGAGCACTACACAAAAATTATAAAACATCACTGAGAGAAATTCAAGACTGCAGTAAATGGAGAGAATATTCTTTCAATGGAATCTAAGACATTATTAAGAGGCATTATAGTTAATTCTCTCAGAATGATCATAGCAATCATATTTAAAATTCCACCACGTTAACAAAATTTTTTTCTGAAATTGACAGACAATTGTTTTAAGTATATGCAAATTGAAGATTTGGTAAAGCTAAGACAATCTTTAAGAAAAAGAACTAAGTTGGTAGATATACACCACTAAATATGAGATTTACTATAAAGGTAGAGTAATTAAAACAGTGTGGTATTGGAGCAATGACAGGCAAATACACCAACAACAGAGGACACAGAGGCCAGAAACAATCTGGAAATGGAAAATAGCTAGATTTACCACAGAAGAGCTCCTGTAAATCATTGTGGAAAGACTAGTGCTTTTAATAAATGCACTTCATAAATGTAGGGAAAATACAAACTTTGACTCTTACTCCATCCCACTTCAGAAAACGTTATTAAAGATAGTGAATCCAGTAAAAAATATCAGATATTAGCTTTACAGCTTTAGAATAGGCCAAGGTGTTTTTGATTAGGATAAAAAAGCTCTAACCATAAAGAGTACATTCTTCAATTAGACATAATTAAATGTAAAATTTCTATTTCTCAAAAGACACTCTTAAGAGAGTGGAAAAGCAAAGCATAGATGTAGATTACATATTATATAATGTATAGTATAGGTTATATATAAAAATATACATCAATCATATAAATATATTAATATATAAATATATATTGATATATAATTATATATAATTGTCAGATACATAAATATAATATGTAATTATATATAATAAATCTAATATATACTATATTTATATTTATATAAATATATAATTATATATATGTAATTGTCAGATATATAAATATATATAATTATATATTATATGTATTATTTATATTATATATTATATATAATATATATCTGACAACAACTGAGTGGAATCCAGAGTATATCCAGAACTACAAATCAATTTTAAAAAACAAATATCGCAATAAAATTTGGGGGGAAAAGCTGAATATGCACTTCATAAGAGTCATACTCAAATATATCTTTAATAATCACATAAAATATACCCGGACTCTGACTTTACTCCATTCCATGAAAATTTATTTGAGGTGAATAGGAGATCTAGAAGAAAACTTAGAATATTATCGTCATGGCATTGGGGGAGACAAGGGTTTTCTCTTAAAATAATAGAAATTTCTAGCCATAAACAATAGTCTGATTAATAAGATTAAGAGAATCTGTTCATCTAAAACACATTATTGAGATAGTGTAAAAGCAAAACAGATTTGTAGAAGACATTAAAATTGTATATGTATTTTCATATATGCCTGTGTGCATGTGTGTATAACTGAAACCCAGAATATATGTAAACTACAAATCCATTTTTAAAATACAAACACCTCAAAAAAATTTGGCAGAAAAGACCTGAAAAGGAACTTCCTAAAAGACATGGTTAAATGACCAATAAACACATAAAAAAGTGCTTCGAAAAAAATCAATAAATAGCTGGGCACGGTGGCTCACGCGTGTAATCCTAGCACTTTGGGAGGCCGAATTGGGCAGATCACTTGAGTCCTGGAGTTCGAGACCAGCCTGGGCAATTTGGGGAAACCTTGTTTCTACCAAAAAATACAAAGATTAGCCAGGCTTGGTGGCATGTGCTTGTTGTCCCAGCTACTGAGGCACGAGAATCGAGCGAGCCTGGGAGGTCGAGGTTGCAGTGAGCCAAGATCACGCCACTGCACTCCAGCCTGACCTCATCCCAAAAAACTATCAAAAATCAATAAACAAACACTTTTTAAAACAAGTGCTCAATCTCATTAATCAGCACAAAATTGCAAGTGTAGACATAAGGAGAGATCACTGCACACCCACAGAATGACTGGAATGAAAGAATAATTGCACAGTGAGTTGTGTGCATGTGGCGAATCTGGAATCTTCACACATTTCTGGACCCCGATTCCTGCACAGACATCCGAGGCTGTGGCTGAAAGGTCAGATACAACCCTGGGAAAGAGGTCTCTCAGGACTGAGAACCAACCAAGGAAAAGCACCCAACCCCGGAGTGAGAGTTTCCAAGGTCAGCTGGGCGCCCTCATGGCTGACACAGAGTTCCCCGAGTCCCACCACAGGCTCAGAGAATCCAAGGAACAGCAGCCCACTCCCCCGCGGCACCGGGAGACAGCACCCACAGATAATAATTTTAAAAACCCATCACCAAGAGAAAGCGTCTGGTAAGCGTCCCCATCAAGGATAAGCAGAACCAAAGAAAAGCCAGCACATCCTGAGAGCGAGCGACATCCAAGAACAAATGCGCCCCACGGCCGAAAACAGCACCCAAGGAAGAGTCCCTCGCAGGCTGAGATAAAGCCCGCGACGGAGAGTGACCCCACAGGGTGGCGATCATGCCTCCAGGGCACAGCCACTACCACCCCGGTCTCTGAACATAGAGTCCCCAAGGCTGAGTCCCCCCTCAGGGCTGCGACCGAGCGGGGAAGAAACGAGAAACACTGCCACACCCGAGGCTGACACAGACAACCAAGGCAGGGTCCCCAACCCTGGGCTCAGGTTATTTCAGCAGGAAAACTCCCTTGCATCAATGAGGGAGCCCCCAAGAAAAGCCCCCCCTGGCCCCACAACATAGTCGAGATGGGATGCCTAAGGAAAACGCCCCCCACGGTTGACACAGGCGCCCATGGCAGTGTCCTTAGAGCGGAGCCACTTTCCCAGGGAGCCCTACCACACACCCGACAGAGAACACCTCAGAAAAGGCACTTTCTGAGGAAAATGGACAATTTCCAGGGAGAAATTAAAGCATCCAGGGAAAAACTGCCCCACTCACAGTCCTGAAGTTCTGACCTTGCCGGAGGAGCAGCGGCAGCACCTCACAAAATGGCAGTGAAGTTGTGCCTCCCCACTGGTGGAACTTTCTAGAAACTTGCTCTCTGGGAGTTATGGGAAATGTGCCCCCTCGAACGCTTGGGAGTGATGCTTATGGGTAGGCGTCTCACCAGAAGCACCAATCCGGTACGGCTCAAGGGGGTGGAAAGAAGGGAAGCTGCCAGCCATGGCGTACCCTGCCCCAGCCTAACACTGGGAACCTGTGTGGGGCGCCAGAGTCCGGAAGAGAAGCTTCGCGCTCAGCAGGACCGTGGGCGCCAGCCAGACAACCAGGAAGCGCAGCCCTCCCCTTAGCTGACTCTGGTGCTCTCTTTAGGCGGTCTTCACTATCAACTGCACAGTGGACAGAGGCAGAGGAACGCAAAACCTTCTCACACAGCAGGATAAAAAGGTGAATTTGGAGCTGACATGCAAATATATCTTGTCATATATTTCTCTGGCTTTGATATCAGAGTAATATTGACCTCAGAGAATGAAGTAGTGTTCCTCCGCTATTTTTTGGAAGACATTGCTAAGTACTGGTATTATTTCTTCCTTAAATGTTTGTTAGAATTTACACGCGAAGCCATCTTGGCTTGCTTCGTATTTCTGGGCAGATTTTAAATTACTAATTAAATCCCTTTTCATGCTATAGTCCTAATTCGATTTTCTAATTACTATTTATTTATTTATTCATTTATTTTGAGACGGAGTTTTGCTCTTCTTGCCCGGGCTGGAGTGCAATGGCGTAATCTCCACTCACCACAACCTCCGCCTCCCGGGTTCAAGTGATTCTCCTGCCTCGGCCTCCCGAGTAGCTGGGATTGCAGGCATGTGCCACCACGCCCGGCTAATTTTGTATTTTTAGTAGAGACGGAGTTCCTCCATGTTTGTCAGGCTAGTCTCAAACTCCCGACCTCAGGTGATCCACCCGTCTCGGCCTCCCAAAGTGCTGGAATTACAGGCGTGAGCAACTGTGCCCAGCCTGTGTCTTCTTGAGTCAGTAATTTGTCTTCTAGGAATTTTTCCATGTTATCTAAGTTGTTTAGTTTGTTGACGTAAAGTTGTTCAAAATGTATTCCTTTTAATTTCTATAAGGTCAGTATTAATAACCCCTCTATCATTTATGATTTTGATAATCGGTGTAGGCCTTTCTATTTTTCTTGGTCAGTCAAGCTAAAAGATTGTTAGATTTTTTTTCACTTTTTCTGTGAACCAACTTTTGATTTCATTGATTTTTCTGTTTTTAATTTCATTGATTTTCTTCTACTCTAATTTTCATCATTCCCCTCCTTCTGCTTGCTTGTATTAAATACACCATTTTAAAACTTCAGGAATAACAAATGATTTGTTTCATAAAGGAAGATTTGAAACCTTAGACACGTAGAAATGCTTATGATATTGCAAGTAGCAGTCATTTCGACTAGTTAACCAGAAGGAAATTTGGTATGCTGAAACCAAACACGTTTTTTTTTTGTGCCGGGCTTTTATTGATTTTGAAAGTATCAAGTCTAGTTTGTAGGAAGCTGTTTATTGCATGAGCAGTTAATTTTTTAATGTTTTAATATATAGAATGCCGATTTTCACTAAATCCCACAAGTTTTTTTTTTTCAAGCTTAAAGGAAAGTATGTATTAACCAGCACATACACTATCCTCTTTGTGCTTTGTCTCTGTTAATCCTTATAAGAGCACCACGAGTTAGATGCTGTTTTATGCCCTTTTTATGGAAATAGAATCTTAGAGTGTACATTTAAGTAGCTCTCCCAGGTATAACCAGTTGGAAAAGTGACGGAACCTAGGTCTCTCAGATTCCAGAGATTGCACACACAAATACTATATCACACTGCTTACTGCTGTGAGTTCAGCAGAGAATTCCTTGTTTACACAGAAATAACAAAACTGATAGTATCCAGGAAAATTGGCAACAGTTCACAAACCCTTTTTACCCCCATTTTGGTGATTTTAAGTGGGGTCATCTGTCCACTAAATTAATCAGATCTTAGGCTGGTCACACTTCTGAAATTGTACACCAAGTTTGTATGTAAAGGTACTTTCCCAGGGAAAAATATCTGTAGATGTAATCAAATTATCAAAAGAGGGTTAGGCCCACTACCCAGCATTCCCTGGATGATAAGAGAATGCCATGGAGCCTACACCCTTCCAGTGGGAAGAATAGTGTCGATTTCTTTGTCATTTATGTTCTAGTTTTTAATCAGAGTGTTCTAGTCACACACACATAGTTAACTATGAGGAGTATCTGTGGATGCTGGTTCCTCCACTTCAAACGAGTCAGCCAACTCCAGCTGAAGAACTTTATACTTTGAACTATGTGTTTATAAATGATGGGCAGGTAGGATAACTAGGACAGTGTATGTGCTCATTAATACGTACTTCTCCTTTAAGCCTGAAAAAAAAATGAACTTGTGGAATTCATTGAAAATTGACATTATAAATATTAAAGTTTTAATATTTAGAATTATAGATTTTTAGTTGGGATGGTGGTATGAGGAAGGTCAGCCAGTTCTCCAACTGTGGTGGAAGCATAAGGGAGTCGTTTAACCTAGTGGTGTGAACCTACAGGAAGTAGTGATGGTGGACTGATGGATAAAGGGAGATGATTCTAGATCACGGAACATGATATAGATTCTAGACATGAGATTCTAAACTCTGTTTGGTACCAAGGCGCATATTGCTAAGACAGTCGGTGATCATGTACTCTCAAGAGGATCATATATTTCAGCTGTGTAGTGCCAATTTATGTGCCAGTTATGTTCCAGTTATAAATCAAAATGTTCTAATAACACACATAGTTAATCCTGAGGACTATCTGCAGATGCAGGCTTCTCCATTTCGAATGAGTCAACTAACTCCACCTGAAGAACTTCATACTGTTGCCTATGTGTTTACAAATGGTGGGCCGGTAAGATAAGTCTATTTCTGCCCTAATTGTGACATTCTTGGTATAATTATTTTCTCATTGGAAACATGAATATAAACTATATGTATTAATTCTCTTGATTTAAAAGATACAATATGACACAGGAAAACTTATGTGAACATAAAATGGGAACTTTTTGATCTAAGAGTGGATTGATTGTACCAGGAACTGATGTTTTTAAATTAAATTGAATTTTATTTTATTATTTCTTTCTTTTTTTTTTCTTTGAGACGGAGTTTCGCTCTTGTTACCCAGACTGGAGTGAAATGGCACGATCTCGGCTCATCACAACCTCCCCCTCCCAGGTTCAAGTGATTCTCCTGCCTCAGCCTCTGAGTAGCTGGGATTACAGGCATGCGCTACCACACCCGGCTAATTTTTTGTATTTTTAGTAGAGACAGAGTTTCTCCATGTTGGTCAGGCTGGTCTCGAACTCCCGACCTCAGGTGATCCACCCACCTTGCCTCCTAGAGTGCTGGGATTACAGGCATGAGCCTTCGCGCCTGGCCAAACTGATGTTTTTAATTATCACATTGAATGGTCATAGTTGTTCTGCGGATGTGTATTACTATTTACCGTTTAATAAGAAATCAAGGCTGACAGTGGTCAAAAGGCTTGCCCCACGTGACACATGATAGGAGATACAGCCAAGGTTTGAACGCATATCTTTCTCACTCCAGAGTCTATATTCTTTCCCACTCCCCACAATAACTACTTTAGTATCAAGATTGCATTCTACAGTCTCTGTTTCTGTTATCCAAGTCACTAGTGCTCTGTCTAAAACAATGACTAAGTATTTCTCGTGGAATATGAAGCACTAGGTGATGTTGCCATGATTGGATTGTCCTAATGGAGATCTTAATGTGTTGTGTATGAGAGAGACATACTAACTTCACTATTAAAACATGAAGACAAAGGGAATTGCATCTGCACTCGTGGAAAAGACCGTTGGTATAAGGACGCAAATAGACAATAACCTCTTCTGTAACAAAACCAGACTAAAGTAATTCTCCCACATTCCCCAAACTCCTCAATTAGTTAGGCTTTTCCTAAATTTTCTGTGCCTTTATTTTCTCTTTTTTAACAATAGACATAAGAATCACACCTCACTCATAGGGATTGGTCAAGGATTGAGTTAATACATGTAAAGCATTTAGAACAGTACCTGGAGGGTAGTAAATGTTCAGTGAAAATGTTTTCACACATTCTCCACTCCGTTTTTACAGGAAATGAAAATGGTTTGGAAAAATTTTTAATCAAAATTATATATTTCGGTATAATTTAATGAAAATTATACCGAAATATATAATTTCATTAAATATGCAGGAGCATACTCTTTCTTTTTTCAACTTTTATTTTAAGTCCTGGGATATGTGCAGGATATGCAGGTTTGTAACATAGGTAAACGTGTGGCATGGTGGTTTGCTGCACTTATGAACCGATCACCTTGGTATTAAGCCCAGCACCCAGTAGCTATTTTTCCTGATGCACTCCGTTCCCCCACTCCTCCCCCGACAGGCCCCAGTGTGTGTTGCCCTGCCCGACGTGTCCATGTGTTCTCATCATTCAGCTCCCACTTGTAAGTAAGAACATGTGCTGTTTGGTTTTCTTTTCTTGCGTTAGTTTGCTAACGATAACGGCTTCTAGCTCCATCCATATTTCTGCAAAGGACATGATCTCATTCCTTTTTATGGCTGCATAGTATTCTGTGGTGTATATGTACTACATTTTCTTTATCCAGTTTATGATTGATGGGCATTTGGGTTGATTCCACATCTTTGCTATTGTGGATAGTGCTGCAATGAACATACTTGTGCATACTTTATAATAGAATGAGTTTTATTTCTCCTGGTATATACCCAGTAATAGGATTACTGGATCAAATGATATTTCTGCCTCTAAATCTTTCAGGAATCACCACACTGTCATCCACATAGTTGAAGTAATTTACACTCCCACCAACAGTATAAAAGCAGTCCTTTTTCTCCACAACTTTGCCAGCATCTGTAGTTTTTTGACGTTTTAGTAATTGCCATTCTGACCGGCATGAGATGTTATCTCATTGTGGTTTCGAGTTGCATTTCTCTAATGATCAGTGATGTTGCACTTTTTTTCACGTTTGTTGCCTGTGTAAATATCTTGTTTTGAGACGTGTCTGTTCATGTCCTTTGCCCACTTTTTAATGTGGTTGTTTGGTTTTCTTTTGTAAATTAGTTTAAGTTTCTTGTAGACTCTGGATAGTAGACCTTTGTCAGATGGACAGATTGCAAAAGTTTTCTCCCATTCTGTAGGCTCTTCACTCTGATGATAGTTCATTTTGCTATGCATATGTTCTTTAGTTTAATTAGATCCCATTCGTCAATTTTTGCTTTTGTTGCCATGGCTTTTGGTATTTTTGTCATGAAATCTTTGCCCGTGCCTATGTCCTGAATAATATTGCCTATATTTTTTTTCTAGGGTTTTTATAGTTTGGGGTTTTACTTTAAGTCTTTAATCCATCTTGAGTAAATTTTTGTATAAGGTGTAAGGAAGGGGCCCAGTTTCAATTTTTGCATACAGCTAGCCAGTTCTCCCAGCATCATTAATTAAACAGGGAATCCTGTCCCCATTGCTTGTTTTTGTCAGGTTTGTCAAAGATCAGATGATTATCGCTGTGTGATCTTATTTCTGAGTTCTCTATTCTGTTCCATTGGTCCATGTATCTGTTTTTCTACCAGTACCATGCTGTTTTGGTTACTGTAGCCCCATAGTATAGTTCGAAGTTACGTAGTGTGATGCCTCCAGCTTTGTTCTTATTGCTTAGGATTGTCTTAGCTATTCTGGCTCTTTTTTCATTCCATATGAATTCTTAAAAAGCTCCTTCTAACTTGGTGAAGAATGTCATTGATAGTTTAATGGGAATAGCATTGAATATCTAAATTGCTTTGGGCAATATGGCCATTTTCACAATATTGATTCTTCCTATCCATGAGCATGGAATGTTTGTCCATTTGTTTGTTTACTCTCTGATTCCTTGAGCAGTGGTTTATAGTTCTCTCTGAAGAGGTCCTTCACTTCCCTTGTTAGCCATATTCCTAGGTACTTTATTCTTTTTATAGGAATTGTGAATGGGAGTTCATTCATGATTTGTCTCTCTGCTTGCCTGTTTTTGGTGTAGAGGAATGCTAGCAATTTTTGCACATGAATTTTGTGTCCTGAGACTTTGCTGGAGTTGCTTATCAGCTTAAGAAGCTTTTGGGCTGAGACAATGGGATTTTCTAGATATAGGGTCATGTCATCTGCAAACAAAGGTAATTTGACTTCCTGTCCCCCTTTTTGAATGCCCTTTATTTCTTTGTCTTGCCTGATTGCCCTGGACAGAGCGTGCAATACTATGTTGAATAGGAGAGGTGAGGGAGGGCATCCTTGTTTTGTGCCAGTTTCAACGGGAATGCTTCCAGGTTTTTCCCATTCAGTATGACATTGACTGTGGGTTTGTCATATATGGCTCTTATTATATTGAGGTATGTTCCTTCAATACCTGGTTTATTGAGAGCTTTTAATGTAAGGGGATGTTGAGGTTTATCAAAGATCTTTTCTGCATCTATTGAGATAAGCATGTGGTTTTTGTCTTTAGTTCTGTTTATGTGATGAATTACATTCATTGATTTGCCTATTTTGAAACTACCTTGCATCCCGGGTATGAAGCCAACTTGCTCATGGGGGATAAGCTTTTTGATGTGCTGCTGGATTCAGTTTTCCAGTATTTTATTGAGGATTTTGCATCAATGTTCATCAGGAATACTGGCCTGAAGTTTTTATTTGTTGTATCTCTGCCAGGTTTTGGTATCAGGGCGATGCTGGTCTCATAAAATGAGTTAGGTAGGAGTCCTTCCTTTTTAATTTTTTGGCATAGTTTCAGTAGTAATATTACCAGCTCTTCTTGGTACCTCTGGTATCAGGAGCGTATTCTTCGGTTATCCTTTGATGAAAACAGCTTTTAGTTAATATACTATACCCTTCAATTTCACGTTTTATCTACCACTAACCTTGCAAAGCACGCCCTACCCCTACCTGAGTCCAAGATCAACATATTGGAATCTCCATAAGGTTGGAGGTGGGAAAATTTACCTTTTCAAACTATCCTACCCTTCACTATCTTTATGTATTATCTAATAAAGTATTAATCAGTATTTGCTAATACATAACTTTAAAGCACTAAAAGAGGCCAGGCGCGGTGGCTCACACCTGTAATCCCAGCACTTTGGGAGGCCGAGGCGGGAGGATCATAAGGTCAGGACATCGAGACCATCCTGGCTAACATGGTGAAACCCCGTCTCTACTAAAAATACAAAATATTAGCCGGGCGTGGTGGCGGGCACCTGTAGTGCCGAGATCGCGCCACTGCAATCCAGCCTGGGCGACAGAGCGAGACTCTGTCTCAAAAAAAGAAAGGCAGTAAAAGATAAAATAAGGTATCTGAGACAAGTGCTGAGACAAAATGATGTGTACTTCATGACAGAGAGAACCATATGTTTATTCCTTTGTATGATGAAAGCCACTCATTCCCCAAGCATTCTGATTTATCATGACTGGACCATGTTTGACTTTGGATAACACCTTGTATTTTACCTTCCCTTGTTTCACTGAGACTAGATTAAAATTAGCTTGCCTTTTCTAAGAGCATTGTATGTGTTCAGTGATGAGAAATCTTTGACCTATGACTAAAACTTACATTAATGATATAAATGCATGGCTGTGTATGCATATGAAGGCTATGACTTTGCAGTGATTGGATTTGTCTTTAATGGAATATGTTCACTGATGTTTTTCAGCAAATGAGGAGTGATGAAGTAAATCCGGTTGCAAAAGGACATCAAAGCAAAAAGAAACATTCCAGAAAATCTAAGAGACACTCTTCATCTAAGAGAAGGAAGAGTATGTCCCTGTGGTTAGACAAACAGGAAGGTGAGGGGGAATCCAATCTTTGGGCCTCAACCATGTCAAAGGACATTTGTCCTTGAGGGATCAACAGATATGAGCACATTTACAAGTGGAAGGGCAAGGTTCTAATTAGGTGCAACAATTTGGAGTTGCTGCAAGCATTAGATGAATGAAGGAGGTTCCTGAGGCAGAAGGAGATGGTGGGCTTAACAAGAGTTTGGGTCTACTCACTTTCTGCCTGTCCTCACATTCCGCTCTAACCCAGTGCAGTCTGGCTTCTTAATGTACTCCAATGAAACTACTATCATCAAGGTCACCAGTGTTTGCTGCATTTTGGCATTAATGTCTCAGCAGCATGCAACACAGTTGTTTACTTCCTCCTGCACGGAAAGTTTCTTGGGTCCCCAGACACCTGGATTTGTTACCCTGTTACTAGAGACTCATTTTCCTTCTCTTTTTTGTTTTTCTCCTCTGCCTTCCCACCTCTAAATATTTCAGAGCCACAAAGCTTGATCCTAGGGTCTCTTCTCTTCAATATAGTATCTCTTAAGGTAATGCCATGCTGTCTTAGAATTTTAAATGATTCACACTAAAAGAACTCTCACCATTATACTTCTACACTACAACTTGTTCCTGAAATCCAGACTCAAATACAACTACTCGCATGATATCTCTACTGGCTGTCTAATAGGCATCTAAAATTCAACTCCCTCTACATGCTCAAATTTCTGACCTCCCTCTCTCCAAAAATACTATACTTTTAGCCTTCACTATTTCAGTTAAAGACACTATCCATTGGGTGAAACATCCACAAAGGTGTAACAACCAGCTATTCACAGGTATGGGGGACTGAGGAGTGCTGGTTTTCATAGTTTGCAGCTATCCATAGTGCAAGTAATCCCACCATGGCCTAGTTCAAGCTGTCAACATAAGGTCACTGAACCAGATTCAGGAAGAGTTGGCAGCACTCGGCTCTCACAGTCAGTTTCCTAACATCTCCTGAATACCCCTGGTGTACTTTCACTTAGTAGTTCAAGTCAAAATACTTAAAGTCACTTATGAGTTATCTTATGATTCTTTTATTGCTCTCTCATTTCCCATCTCTTAGCAAGTCCAGCAGTCAATGACCAGTATAAATTCTGCATCCAACCGTTTCTCTCTATGTCTCCAGTGCACACTGCCGTGATCTCTGTCCAGGCTAGTACAATATCTTCTTAGCTCTGTGTTTCTAATCTTCACTCATCTATCGCATACTCTCTAACCTTGTGGCTAGATAATTATGTCAGCACGTAAATCACATCATGCCATGTCCCTTCTGAAAACCCATCTTCAACTCTCCTAAGCACTCAGAACAGATCCTGAACTGACTTTGGTCTGCAAGCCTCTGCACGGCCTGGCCTCTGTCACCCTCTCCTAACACAGGTCCCATCCATTTCCTCCTGGCTCTCTCTGCCTCTGTCCTTCAGATCTGTAGTGCCCTGTCCATCCCCACTCCATCCCCTACCCTTGGCCTCACCGCAGCCTGGAATTCTCCCTCTGCCTCTGCACAGGAGGCTCTGCTTCTTCCTCTAAGCCCTGCCCAGTGGCACCTCTTCAGAAGGCCCTGCCAAACCAGCCACAGCCCCTGGGGCTCTCTCTGCTGCTCTCTCCCACGGACCTGTGGACTGCTTTTCCAAACCAGCCCAATGCTGCTTGTTTCATTTGCTCTTTGTGCATGTACTGTCTGACTGCCCCATGAGGATGTGAGCTCCACAAGGGCAGGGAACATTGCTCTCTGGGGTGTTTACTGCTGATCCCCAGCTCCTGGCATGCTGCCTGCCACAGATGATGAATAAATGAAAGAGGCATCAGACCTGGAGTGAAAAGAAAGTCACTTTTTCTAGACAAAAGGGCAGGATCTATAGAATCATATAAAACCGCAGATGTGTGAGGATGGAGTAGAGATAAGAGTGTTCAACTCCAATAGCCACGTCTATTTTCTCAGAATATTTGGGGTAGAAAGGAAGCAGGTTAAGGAGGGTCACTTAGTCTGGCTTCCTGCTGCACACAGCATGGTATTTATAGGTGAACTATACAAATAATATCAAGTGAGAATTGTAAAGGGCAGAAAGATGATACAAAATGATGAATACAAAAACCTGTGAATGTTTATTCTGCTGTCGTACTTCTTTACTGCATGTATTCATTACGCCAAGAGGTAAAAAGGTAGTTTTATTGTATTATCTGACCTGATCTCTGTTCGCAAGATCTGAGATTTCCACGTGGTAAATCTGTTTCATGAAATAAATAATTCTTTAGAAACTGATGAATACATAACTGTCCCTCTGGAGGAGGATGGGACAAAACACACCTATCTTGCAGCTCAACCTCTTCATTTGGTTTCCAGATGCTAGCGTCACTCACAATGTCCATGAAGAGAAGATAAAAAATGGCCAACCAGCACACAATAATGTCATTGCAACTGTTCCAACAGCGCTTATTAATATGGCAGCAGCTGGAATTTCATCCATGAGTACCAGGGACCAGTGTAAGTTTGCTCACTTGTTATACTGTCCTACGAGGATTCTACTATGCACCATATATGCATAGTGTCATGAGGGAAGAAGGTAATTTTGTTGTATTATCTTTTCTGGCCTCAATTTTAGGGTTCTCAGATTGCTACCTGGTATATCCTCCTTCTTTATGACATACTGAGCATCAGTGGGGTTTGCCTGTGCAGTTGACATAATGCACTTACCTCACAGCTCAACCACTTCATTTGGTTTCCAGATGCTGCAGTCACTCACAACATCCATGAAGAGAAGATAAATAACAGCCAACCAGCAACTAATAACATCTTGTCAACTGCTCCACCATGGCTTGGTGCTATGGCAGCAGCAGGAATTTCGTCTACGAATATGAGAGATCTGTGTATGTCTGCTTATTAATTGTACTGTCCTACTTGGTTTCCATAAGCAGGCATATTTTCATGAATTATAGAAGGTGGTTTTGTTGTATATTCTTTCTTAGCCTCAATTTGAGGGGTATCAGATGGCCACCTGGGATATCCTCCCCTGCTTTTTTAGATAATTTCCTAGAAACTGCACAAAGAGGGATATACCTGTGGGGTTGACATAATGCACTTACTTCATAGCTAAACCTCTTCCCTTGGTTTCCAGATGCTGCAGTCACTCACAACGTCCATGAAGAGAGGATAAATAACAGCCAACCAGCAGCTGATAACATCTTGTCAACTGCTCCACCATGGCTTGGTGCTATGGCAGCAGCAGGAATTTCGTCCACAAGTACGAGAGATCTGTGTATGTCTGCTTATTAATTGTACTGTCCTACTTGGTTTCCATAAGCAGGCATATTTTCATGAATTATAGAAGGTGGTTTTGTTGTATATTCTTTCTTAGCCTCAATTTGAGGGGTATCAGATGGCCACCTGGGATATCCTCCCCTGCTTTTTTAGATAATTTCCTAGAAACTGCACAAAGAGGGATATACCTGTGGGGTTGGCATAATGCACTTACTTCATAGCTAAACCTCTTCCCTTGGTTTCCAGATGCTGCAGTCACTCACAACGTCCATGAAGAGAGGATAAATAACAGCCAACCAGCAGCTGATAGCATCTTGTCAACTGCTCCACCATGGCTTGGTGCTATGGCAGCAGCAGGAATTTCGTCCACAAGTACGAGAGATCTGTGTATGTCTGCTTATTAATTGTACTGTCCTACTTGGTTTCCATAAGCAGGCATGTTTTCATGAATTATAGAAGGTGGTTTTGTTGTATATTCTTTCCTAGCCTCAATTTGAGGGGTATCAGATGGCCACCTGGGATATCCTCCCCTGATTTTTCAGATAATTTCCTAGAAACTGCACAAAGAGGGATATACCTGTGGGGTTGACATAATGCACTTACCTCACAGCTCAACCTCTTCACTTGGTTTCCACACGCTACCGTCAATCACAATGTCCATGAGGAGGGGATGGAAAATGGTCAACCCCAACAAGATAATGTCGTGTCAAATGTTCTATCAGGGCTTATTAATATGACAGGAGCTGGTATTCCAGTGAGGAGTACCAGGGATCTGTGTATGTTTGTTTATTAGCTGTAGTGTCCTTGGTTTCCATATGCATGCGTAGTGTCATGAAGGGAAGAAGGTGGTTTTGTTGAATAATCTTTCCTGACCTCAACTTGAGTGGACTCAAATCATTATATGATGTATTCTCCTGCATTATGGGATAATTTCCTAGAAATTTAGCATCAGTGGGATATACTGGTGAGATTGTCATAATGCACATACCTCACAACTCAACCTGTTCTGTCAGTTTCCTGATGCTACCATCACTCACAACATCTGTGAAGAGAGGATGGAAAATGGCCAATCCCAAACTGATAAAGTCTTCTCAACTGTTTCCCCATGGCTTGTTCATAGGGCTGCAGCTGGTATTCCATCCATGAATACCAGAGATCTGTGTATGTCCGCTAATAGTTGTACTGTCATACTTGTTTTCCATAGGCATGCATATTTTCATGAAGGGTAGAAGTTGCTTTTGTTGTATATACTTTCCTGGTCTCAATTGGTGGAGTCTCAGATGGCCATCTGGCATATCCTCCCCTGATTTCCTAGATAATTTCCTAGAAAGTGAACATCAGAGGGATATACCTGTTGGGCTGACATAGTGGACTTACCTCACAGTTCAAATTATTCGTTTGGTTTCCAGATTCAACTGTTCCTCACACTATCTGTGAATAGAAGATAAAAAATGAACAAATAGCACCTGATAAATTCTTGTCTACTATTACAGCGGGGCTTATGAATTTCACATGGGCTGGTATTTCACTCATGAGTACCAGGGATCAGTGTATGTTTACTAGTTGTACTATCCTACTTGTTTTTCATACACATGCAGTGTCATGCAGATAAGAAGGTGGTTTTGTTTTATTATCTTTTCTGGCCTAAAACCGTGGGGTCTCAAATCACAACCTGATATGTCCTCCTGGTTTATGGGTGGGATAATTTCCTAGCAACTGAGCATCAGAAGGACATACCTGTGGCACTTACCTCACAACTTGAACTGTTCATTTGGTTTCCAGATTCTACTGTCACTCACAATATCCGTGAAGAGAGAATGGAAAATGGCCAACCCCAACCTGATAACATCTTGTCAACTGGTCCCACAGGGCTTATTAATATGGCAGCGACTCCTATTCCAGCCACGAGTGCCAGAGATCTCTGTATGTCCACTTATAAGTTGTACTGTCCTACTTGGTTTTCATATGCATACATAGTGCCATGAAGGGAGTAAGGTGGTTTTGTTGTGTTATCGTTTCTGGCGTAAATCTGAGGGGTCTCACATCACCACCTGATATATCCTACTGTTTTATGAAATAGTTTCATAGAAACTGAGCACCAGAGGGATATACTTGTGAGTTGGCATAATGCACTTACCTCACAGCTCAACCTCTTCCTTTGGTTTCCAGATGCTACAGTCACTCACAATGGCCGTGAACAGAAGATGGAAAATGTCCAACCAGCACCTGATAACGTGCTATTGACTCTTCGACCACAGCTTATTAATATGGCAGCCACTGGTATTTCAACCATGAGTACCAGGGATCCGTGTAAGTTTGTTCATTTGTATTACTGTCCTACTTGGTTTCCATGTGCATGCACAGTGTCAAAAATCATACAAGGTGGTTTTGTTGTATTGTCTTTCCTGGCTTTCAGCGGTCTCGTATGGCAACCTTGTATATCCTCCTGTTTATGAGATAATTTCCTAGAAAGTGAGCATCAGAGAGATATACCTGTGTGGTTACCATAACACACTTAACTAACAGCTCAGCCTCTTCATTTGGCTTCCAGATGCTACCATCACTTACAATGTCCCCAAGGAGAAAATGGAAAAGAGCCAACCCCAACCTGATAACGTCTTGTCAACTGCTTCAACAGGGCTTATTAATGTGGCAGGAGCTTGTGGTTTTATTGTATTGTCTTTTGTAGGTGAAGTTGTGGGGTCTCAGATCACTGCCTGGTATATCCTCCTGCTTTACGTGATAAATTCCTAAAAACTGAGCATCAGAGGGATATATACATGTGTGGTTGGCATAATGCACTTACCTCACAGCTCGACCTCTTTATTTGGTTTCCAGATGCTACTGTCAATCACCATGTCCATGAAGCAAGGATGGAAAATAGCCAACCACAACAGGATAACGTCTTGTCAAATGTTCTATCTGGGTTTATTAATGTGCCAGGAGCTAGTATTCCAGCAATGAGTTCCAGGGATCTGTGGTGTATGTGTGTTTTTTACTTATACCATCCTTCTTGATTTCCATATGCATGCATAGTGTCATCAAGGGAAGAAGGTGGTTTTGTTTTATTATCTTTTCTGGCCTAAAACCGTGGGGTCTCAAATCACAACCTGATATGTCCTCCTGGTTTATGGGTGGGGTAATTTCCTAGCAACTGAGCATCAGAGGGACATACCTGTGGCACTGACATAATGCACTTACCTCACAGCTTGAACTCTTCATTTGGTTTCCAGATTCTACTGTCACTCACAATATCCGTGAAGAGAGAATGGAAAATGGCCAACCCCAACCTGATAACATCTTGTCAACTGGTCCCACAGGGCTTATTAATATGGCAGCGACTCCTATTCCAGCCACGAGTGCCAGAGATCTCTGTATGTCCACTTATAAGTTGTACTGTCCTACTTGGTTTTCATATGCATACATAGTGCCATGAAGGGAGTAAGGTGGTTTTGTTGTGTTATCGTTTCTGGCGTAAATCTGAGGGGTCTCACATCACCACCTGATATATCCTACTGTTTTATGAAATAATTTCATAGAAACTGAGCACCAGAGGGATATACTTGTGAGTTGGCATAATGCACTTACCTCACAACTCAACCTCTTCCTTTGGTTTCCAGATGCTACAGTCACTCACAATGGCCGTGAACAGAAGATGGAAAATGTCCAACCAGCACCTGATAACGTGTTGTTGACTCTTCGACCACAGCTTATTAATATGGCAGCCACTGGTATTTCATCCATGAGTACCAGGGATCCGTGTAAGTTTGTTCATTTGTATTACTGTCCTACTTGGTTGCCACGTGCATGCACAGTGTCAAAAATCATACAAGGTGGTTTTGTTGTATTGTCTTTCCTGGCCTCAATTTCAGCGGTCTCATATGGCAACCTTATATATCCTCCATTTATGAGATAATTTCCTAGAAAGTGAGCATCAGAGAGATATACCTGTGTGGTTACCATAACACACTTAACTAACAGCTCAGCCTCTTCATTTGGCTTCCAGATGCTACCATCACTTACAATGTCCCTGAGGAGAAGATGGAAAAGGGCCAACCCCAACCTGATAACATCTTGTCAACTGTTTCAACAGGGCTTATTAATTTGGCAGGAGCTTGTGGTTTTATTGTATTGTCTTTCGTAGGTGAATTTGTGGGGTCTCAGATCACTGCCTGGTATATCCTCCTGCTTTACGTGATAAATTCCTAAAAACTGAGCATCAGAGGGATATATGCATGTGTGGTTGGCATAATGCACTTACCTCACAGCTCGACCTCTTTATTTGGTTTCCAGATGCTACTGTCAATCACCATGTCCATGAAGCAAGGATGGAAAATGGCCAACCACAACAGGATAACGTCTTGTCAAATGTTCTATCTGGGTTTATTAATGTGGCAGGAGCTAGTATTCCAGCAATGAGTTCCAGGGATCTGTGGTGTATGTGTGTTTTTTACTTATACCGTCCTTCTTGATTTCCATATGCATGTATAGTGTCATCAAGGGAAGAAGGTGGTTTTGCGGTATTACCTTTGCTTGCCTCAATTTCAGGGGTCTCTGATTGCCACCTGGTATATCCTCCTGCTTTATGGGATAATGTCCTAGAAACTGAGCATCAGTAGGATATCCCTGTGGGGTTGTCATTATGCACTTACCTCACAGCTCGACCTCTTCATTTTGTTTCCAGATGTCACCACCACTCACAATGTCCATGAGGCGAAGATGAAAAATGACCAACAGGCACCTGATAACTCCTTGTCAACAGTTCCACCAGGGTGTACTAATCTGTCAGGAGCTGGTATTTCATCCAGGAGCACCAGGGGTCTGTGTATGTTTGTGTATTGGTTGTACTGTCCTGCTTGGTTTCCATATCCCTGCATAGTGTCCTGCAGGGAAGAAGGTGGTTTTGTTGTATTATCTTACTTGAACTTAGTTTGAGGGGTCTCGGATCGCTACCTGGTATATCCTCCTGCTTCATGAGATGACTTCCTAGAAACCGAGCATCAGAGGGATATACTGTGGGGGTGACATAATGCACTTACCTCACAGCTTAACTTTTTTATTTGGATTCCAGATTCTACTGTCATTCACGATATCCAGGAGGAGGAAATGGAAAATGGTCAAATCCCTCCTGATGGCCTCCTGTCAAATTCTGATTCACCAGAGCTTATAAATATGACAGGACATCGTATGCCACCCGAGGCATTGGGTTCTTTCTCTTACGACTTCACAAGTCTCAGCAAAGATGAGCTGCTTTACAAACCTGATAGTAATGAATTTGCTGTAGGCATCAAAAACTACAGTGTCTCTGCAGGTGACCCACCAGTCACAGCAATGTCTTCAGTGGAAACTGTGCCAAATACACTACAAATATCTCCTGCCATGGCAAAGAAAATTAATGATGATATAAAATATCAATTAATGAAAGAAGTTCGAAGGTTTGGGCAAAGTAAGTAATGCAAGAATGTCTTATCAGTGAAAGCATGAGAAGTCTCTCATTCTATGATTTAGAACAGAAGTCAGCTGCCTCTTGAGCTCATTGTTTGGCTGAATTGGATCTGTATATAATTTAGCATGGCTTCACTTAATTTTCACTGGAAATTGCTAATATGTCTGCTTAAGTGTTTTGTTTTTCACAATAGTTCCTTAGTAATATACAGATGTTGTGATTTAAGCATTAAACACACAAACACTATGTAACATTTTAGCCCATGAAAAATGTATACTGTGGTAGTAGATGCACTAAGATTGAGGTATATTTCATGTTCGTAATTGTAGAAATACTAATTTTTAAAATATCTTCAGATTATGAAAGAATTTTCAATTTGCTTGAAGAGGTACAAGGATCTATGAAGGTCAAGAGACAATTTGTTGAATTTACCATCAAGGAAGCAGCAAGGTGAGTGCAAAAAGGAACTCTGCTATTTTAAGCATTTGTGCCCAATTTGGGACAGGGGCAGGGACAAATCATGTTTGTTCCTCCTAATCTCTGGCTCTCAATCATAGTTCATGCTATTTCCACAGGCATTTAGGTTGATATTATCTTATTCTAACACTTTCTTCCAATGCCAGGGGGCCTTCCAAATTTATCAAAATCTGGGAGTGTGCATGGACCCTCAGTTGACTCACTTTGTATTTTTCTAGTTTGTATCTTTCCATGAGGATGCATTTTCTATTTGCATGTAGATGGTAAACTCTATTTTGTATCCACTCTACCTCTTACATCTCATAGATCCTGTAGATATCATCTGGTGAATGGAATTCCTCTTTAATTTCAGGTTTAAAAAAGTTGTCTTAATTCAGCAACTCGAGAAGGTGCTTAAAGAAATAGATTCCCACTGCCATCTCAGAAAAGTTAAGCACATGAGAAAAAAATAATTGTGTTAGTGCAAAGACCAAGGAGAAACAAGAACATATGCTGTAGGATGGAACAGGTTATTGCTGAAGCTCTCTATAATTCTGAAGTGATTTCCCTTCCAAAAGCTACGAAAAAGGGAGCTGTTTAAATTTAATAAATCACTGTTAGTAAAAGCTGCACTTTACTTGTTTGTTGGTTTCTTCTTCCACTTGAGGAGGTATATGAGTTAATAACCCACCAAGGTATTTAGTATTACAGTTCTGGTTTCTGCAGCAGCTCACATTGCTATAACTGGTATTTATAACTGCCTTCTTTCACTCCAGCCTGGGTGGCACAGTGAGACTCCATCTCAAAACAAACAAACAAAGAAAAAAAAAGGGGAGGTCTAAGAAGCTCTCTAGACATGTCAGACATACTCTCTTTTAGCCCCTGTGCAATTCATCCCCCTTTCATTATCAAGTTCATCACCCCCAACCAGTAGATGACCCCCTCCTTTGACTCTAGATGGAAATTGATGAAGAGACCAAAATGGCCAGCTGACAGTATCTATCTGTTCTCAATGGAATTACTGTTATGTCCCTTGGCGAAAGCATTTCTTCCTTTGGAACTAAGACTTCTAGTTCAGCAGAGCCTCAAGTCAGAAAAATAAGCATTTTTACTAGTCGACCACTGGGGTGAAAAGTGAGTAGAGACACTCCCAATTGTACTTCTTGATTCTAGGACCCATGAATCCTGACTATGGGAGAGAAAGCAAACTATGTTGGATGCAGATAAACAGCAAACACTGCTTCCTAAAAGTAATTTCTCAGACCTGCAAGGTATTGCCACCTAGCTAGTACTATAACTGAGTTCCACAAGGCCATTCCACTGTTCTGTTGATCCAGTCACTTTAAGATAATGGGGGGCACTTTGGGAGGCTGATGTGGAGTTCCAGACAAGGTGGGAAAAGCACTACCATCTCTTAAAAAAATGATGGGGGATAGAGGCATATACATATTAAGACCAGTGAATTTCTATGAGCATCGGCCCATTGCTGCACTTTTTATTTTCTGTGAAGCGAGTGCCATTTTTCGAGGTGATGCTGTGTGGAATACCATGATGGTAAATAAGGCATTTTTCTAAGTGCACAAATGTTGCTTTTCTCAGAGTACTGTGGGTGGGAAGGAAGATCCATAATCAGAATAAGTGTCTATTTGAGTAAGAACACAGCCCTGCCCCTTCCATAGTGGAAGTGGTCCAATGTAATTATCTGCCATCTGGTAGCTGGCTGATCACTCTGCAGGCAGGTGTCATATAAGAGGCTCAGTGTTGCTCTCTGTTTCTGGCAGATTGTACACTCAGCAATGACTGTGGTGCAGCTAAAACCAAGTTCTTGTCACACGACCAGGAAAGATTAGGTTCGCAGACACATTGAAGGGTGAGGAGCGGAATTTATTGGTTGAAAAGGAAAAATAGGAAGGAAAAAATATCTCTCAGCAAAGCAGGAGGGAGTCCTGCTAACAAGTCCCCATCTCACAGATTGATTCTGGACCACCACACAGGAACCGAAGAGACCAGGCTCCCCACCACCACCCCTGCACTAGCTGCAAACTTTCTGTGGCTCCACATCCTTCCCCCAGTACCCATGTCACCATTATTAAGAAAGAATCAGTTGGAAAAGGGCGAGCAAACAGTGGCGATTCTCCCTGTGGATCGTGGGTTACATTTGGGACCAGCAGTCTGGTTTTTCAACCTTCAGGCCATTTTAGGCTTGAAGGCAGGTTTCACCGGGAATCCTTGGCTGTCTCATATCTCTATCAACTGTAGCCAGGTTGGCCTTGGTGAATGGAAGTCCATGCTGCTGAAGCATAATCTCTATCCCTGTCACCTTGGCCACTTTGTGAGCCCGTGAGGTTATGACACAAGTGTTGGGGAAAGAGGCTGATTAATATCTAGATAATAAGTACCTTATCCTTCAGATTATTAAAATTCTTCTCTGCTGAGGTTACCCTTTGCTGAGAACTCTCATGAGACCCAAATATCTCATAGCCCTGGCCATCTCTCCTCCACACAAGAGTATTGCTCAACGTTCTTCCCTCTGGGAAGATTTCCCTTCACCACTGTCCTTCAGGACTACACAGCTGTCCACTTCTGGCTTTTGTGGTAGGCAGGCATTATAGACGGACTGAATATTTGTGTCCTCTGAGAATTCATACGATGAAACCCTGACTCCCAATGGGATGATATTTGGAGGTGGAGCCTTTGGAAGGTAATTAGGTTTAGATGTAGTCATGATGTTTGGGTCCCTATGATGAGATTAGTGCCCTTATAATTACAGAAAAGGGAACTTGTTCTTCCATGCCTCTTCAACATTTGAGGATACAGCAAGGTGGCTGACTGCAAGTTAGGAAGAGGACGCTCACCAGAATTTGAGCATGCTGGCACCCTGTTCTTGGACTTCTAGCCTCCAAAACTATGAGAAAGAAATGTCTGGTGATGAAGTCACCCAGTCTGTGGTATTCCGTGGTAGCTGCTCAAACTGAGACAGCTGTAGTCTGATTCCCCAGGTTCCCATCTCCTGTATACTCAGTCAAGCATTAATCCAAATACTACTATGGTGGGATTTTGGTGGATAATCAAAGTCTCAAGTCAGTTGACCTTGAGACATGGAATTGGTGTGGGTGGGCCAGACCTGGCAGGGGAATCATTGAAAAGCAGAGCATTTTTCTTACCAAGGAGCAGAAGAAGAGGTAAGAGAGTCAAAGCACAAGAAGGATGTGACACAGTAGGCCCGCTTTCAGGATAATACCATGCTCCTAAAAAGGTATATAGGGTGGCAATAGGTGTTTAGAGCAGTCCCTGGATGACAGCCAGCGAAAACGTGGGAGCCACTTTCCTACCACCTCAAGGAACTAGATCGAAATGGGCAATAACCTGAATAAGTTTAGAAATGGATTATTCCACAGTCTCCACATCAGCACCCAGTTGGCCTGACATTTTGAGTTGGCCTTGGGAGACACTCAGCAGAGAGGCCAGTTGAGCCTTTCCGGTCTTGATCTGCAGAGCTGTGGATAGTAAATGTGTGTTATTTTAGGCTGCCCAATTTGGGGTAATTTGTTATGTGGCAATAGAAAACTAATACAGGTGCTGCCAGCCCATTATAAAGAAAAAATAGTAAGTAAGCCAGGCCTAGAGATTTTTTTATTGTTTGTTTTTGAGACAACTCTGTTCATAAGGAACCCCCCTCGGAGCCATAGGTGTGGGTTCAGAGAGCTTTTTCGTGTACTAGGCCAAACTCAGAAGTAGCAGATTTTCCAGTCATTAGCAGATAAGTCACAGTAGCGCACCCCAATGAGGTACATGTTACCACCATCACAAACTAAGGAGGCCCACTATTTCTTGTGTCCCCTTTGAGTGACAGGAAGGGTGAGATGTACCAAGTTGCTGTTCACCTGATAAGTACTATGTTGACATGCCTCTGAGCACTTGACCACTAAATATTTCACTGAGTTTAAAGGCCCCTGATTTTTTGTGCGAATCGATACCTAGGTTGTCATGTCAGTATGTTACCAGTGTGTCTAGAGTAGTTGCTAGGTCCTGCCCAGTCAGCATAATATCATCAATGCAAAGTAATGATGTCACATGGTTGGAAGAAAAGGAGATCAAGATCCCTAAGGACTAGTTTGGGTCATAAATTTATGATGCAGGATACTTTCTTGACCCCTTCACAGGACTTGTGACAGGGGTGCCCAGCCACTTTGGCACCAGCAGGAGCAAACACCTTTTCCTAGGGTCCGCCTCACCGCACCCCTCATGGGAGGGAGCACATAGGCAAGTGAGTGTGGGAACTGGCCAGCTGCTTTGGCACTGGCAGGAGCAAACTCCGTCCAGGCTCTGTGGCAGCATCCAGATAGGAGTGCCTGCGACCCGAAGGTGCCAGAGTGCATGTTACAATGCTCTCTTAGCTCCACTATCCACGGACAGCAGTGTGTTATCAGTGTGTGGTACCTTTGCCTCATTGCGTGGGGTGGCTGCCCTCTGTCAGCAAGGGCAAAGGGCCAGTGCGACAGCCTTTTTGGGTACCCACACGTCGTGGGTACCAAATTCTTGTCTGGTGCCCAAGAAGAATGAGGCCACACAGATGAACTGAAGGATGGTGAGTGCAGAGAATTTTATTGTGCAATGAAAGCAGCTCTCAGCAGAGAGGGGAGCTGGAAAGCGTAAGGGAAGGGCAGGTCGCTCTCCCCTGAAGTCAAGTCGCCTCTCTGCCTCACTTCTCCGAAGTCAAGTTGCTTCTCCTGGACATACAGCCATCGCCTCTGAAGTGAAGTCAACTCTCCCTGATGTCCAGCTACTTCTCCTCTCTACTGGCTGAATCTGGAGTCTTTATAGGCATGGGATGGGGAGCAGGGCAGGCTGTAGGTAGTTTTGGAAAAGGCAACATTCGATTGGTAAAAAGACATTATTCAGATAGAACAATTGACAGAGCAGCCAAACTGAGGTAGAAGTTCTCACTCCAGGTTTTTCAGCTTGAAGATGGGGTTTCACCAAAGAACCACCCTTGTCTGCCTAGAGTTTCTCTGCCTCCTGCCTCTATCATTTAGAGAGCTAATATAAGACTGAGGTAGGAAGGAAAAGGGGTTTTGCTGGTCTTGCCAGATGAGAGCAAACAGTTCCTCATGATCTTTAAAAAACACGTATAAAGAAAAAGGCATTCACATGATCACATACACGCGCGCACACACACACACACACACACAGATATATGTTTGTATATATGCGTATATAATGTTAAATACCTATCTCATTTTAAACATATCTCTGTCTACATAAAAGGGAGTTGTTATGTAGAATTGGTCTGATATAGTATGTTTACATGACTATTCCATCTCTATAAGGCTCTTAGGCTCTTATCTCACGTATAATACTGAATAAGGGGCAAACATTTCTGGACTTGCCAAACCATATTTTGTGCTAGAAGAATAGAGTGGAAGCACCTGGTGAGGGTGCGTTTGCCGAAATACTGCCCTCAGTAAGCAGAGAGGCTCTCACCCCAAATATTTGAGGCTCCTGGATCTGGGCAAGGAGCAGCCCTGTGCAGCAGGCAGGCTGGATATTTGGCTCCTTAAACTCTATTCCAACTCTAGCTGCCTATGACCTGGGATGGGTCTTTTCCTTCTTGGGGCCTCATTTGTATCT